TATATATACACATAGCGATGTGGAGAGACGGTTGTGCATGAAAGAAGTGGAGTGCTGTTTCTGTAGCTTTTTACCTAGCGTGTCTGTATTTCGCGCCACTAGCTTAGCGCTACGTCAGTGTCGGCAGTTGTTAATTTTGGATGACGGACAATTTCGGTAGGCAGGATGCTCAGTTCTGCTGACAGGGCGGGGCACCCTCTTTGGATAACGGTAGAGGAAACACTGATTAAATGTATATAAACCCACACCTATCACTTATCAGCGGTTCTGCAGGGGAACCTTGGATGTTCTCTGTCTGCTGGACCTGGTTCTGGAGGGCAGTCTGGGAGGCAGCTGCTGCGGTCCTTATTACCATCAAGCTGCTGAAGGGACCTGCTAACAAGACCTGCTAACAAGACCTGCTAACAAGGCCAGGCTGCTAACAGAACCACACCGCTAACAGTATCATGCTGCTAACTGGACCATGTTGCTAAGATAACTTCAGCGTCATCATCTGCCAATAGGACCATGCTGCTATAGATTTATTTATTTTTCACTTTTTGTGTCTTGTTTCTGTATTTTTGTTGCATGCCTTGAGTAAATCCTAGATTATGTTAGTTAGTTTATGTTAGTGCTCACATTAAGTGTGTAAATTATAGCTGAACAGAACCTATGAGAATCATGCTGCTGTTGTTCGATGTATTGTTTCGCATTATGAGTGACTGACATATAGCTTAGATCTTTTAGCGTACCGCTGGACATTTGTTTAGTGTACAGTATATCTTTGTTTATATCTTAGATTCTTATTTACTGTTTCTTTTTACACGTTATATTTATGCTATTGCTGAATGTAACTGGGACCTTGAGTACACAGTTTTGTTCCACCTCATGTACCACATGCGATGCTAACAACAATAAAGAACCTTGAATTCTTGGATTTGAGAAACTATCCTTTCTAGTTTTTATATAGCTGAAAAATGATAGTTTCTTCAAATGATTGGAGTGACTGAAGAATAGTCTGTGGTGGCCAAGACCACCACCGGCCACTCCCTGGCTCCACCACTGTGCCTGGTAGTGAATAAAATGTTCCCTCCACTCGTTAGAATCCATCAACTCCACGCCGCCTTGGACAAGTGGAAATATAACTACACTCACACAGACACATGCACAAACATTATTGCCCACGTTTTTCCTGTAGGTGGTGGGCGATAATAAAGGAGGAATGTAACACCTTCTGTCTGATGACTGAGCAGGGCAGGGCTGCAGGGCTGGGACATAAAAACGGTCATGCGTGGTCAGCGATGGCCACAGGAGCAGAATATTAAAGCTAGCTGCAACAAAAGAAGTGCAGCAGCAGCTAAATGTCAGGATGTTTCTCTGGAGGACAATGGGGATGAACTGGGCCGCAGGTCTGGGCTTTGGCTTTTGTTTAGCAGCCTCGCCTCACAAACAACTCCAAACTCCATGCACTGGCTTTTAAATGATTGAAAAATGACATGAAATAAGGAAATCTGTGATTATTATTTGCAGCGTCATCATGGGTGTCTGAGCAACCATGACTCAACACTGAGTCACAATTTATGGATGTTTTTATTAATAAGCTCAACAGTGAGTTCTGTTTTTGCTGCGAGGTCTGTCAGAGATTACAGATCGTTTCTTTTGACAAACGTTTGGGATCTGTGAGCTTTATGCTGAAAAATGTGTTTGTTTTTTTAATTCTATGACAAAATAGTCTGTCATTCAGTGTCATTGTCACCGAATGGTAAATTTGCTGCGTCGTCCTGCTTTCGTCACCCGACAGATTCATTTACAAGATTTGTGTAGGTAACATTTGCACACGTTGCTTTAAAGCTGTAACCCACTGGACATGAAGTAAGAAAGTGAGCAGTGACTCAGCTTTTACACTGTTGTTTCCTGTTTTTCATGATAGACTTTATGTAAAAAACATTCAGCTCATTCAGGAGATGGATGCTATGACGTTAGCTTTTTAAACGTTTCAAAATATTTTACTTTATTTCTATTTTCCTCATAGAAACACACTGATATGGCTCTTCAAATATATTTTTCTCTTTGGAATCTGGTTTGGGTGTGTTCATGTTTATTTGTCTTACTTTGCACATTTATATACCGGTAGTTTGTTGCTACAATTAGTTTTAACTACCATTCTGCTACTCTTAGCTTTCAGCTACTATTCTGCTACTTATAGCTTTCAGCTATCATTCTGCTACTCTTAGATTTTAGCTACCATTCCGCTACTCTTAGCTTTCAGCTACTATTCTGCTACTCATAGCTTTCAACTACCATTTTGCTACTCTTAGATTTTAGCTACCATTCTGCTATTCTGGACTTTCAGCTAACATTCTGCTACTTAAAGCATCTCGGGGGGGGGAGAGAGATGGGGTAGAAGTAGGGCAGCCAACTTGGGACTAGAAAGTTGTGGTTTGACTCCCAGCCATTCCAACATGTCCTGGTGTCTGAGCAAGACACCCAATCCCTAACTGCCCCCAGGAGCCCAATAGCTGCCCACTGCTCCACCTGGGTGCATCCCAGGTGCAATAGGCTAAATGCAGAGAACTAATGTCATCATTGTATGGGAACACATAGCAACATGATGCTACTTATAGCTTTTAGCTACCATTGTACTACTTTTGGCTTTCACTTATCATTCATCTACTCAGCATTCTGCTACTTTTAGTTCATATCAGGCTTATTTTTTAGCCTTTAACGACTGTTCTGTTACTTTTAGCTTTATCTACGATTGTGCTACTTTTAGCCTTTTGCTAGCTTTTTGCTTATCTTAGCTTATATCTAGTATTTTTGCTATGGTTACCTTTTAGCTGGCTTTTTTTTGCTACTTTTAGTTTTAATTAGCTTTTTACATATTTTAGTTAGCCTTTTGCAACTGTTTTTACATATTTTAATTTTTTTAAATGATTAAGCTTAATTACTTTTCTGCAAATGTTGACATTTTAGCTTTTTTAACCACCTCTTCTAGCATAATTTCAGCAGGCATTTAGTTACTTTTGACGTTAAGCTAACATTTTTTATTATTTCCCATAGCTTTTAGTTTGTGTTCTGCTTCTTTTGGCTGTAACAGTTTCAGCTTCTTTCAGCAGTGGTTCAGCTTTCACTGTATTATAACAAAAACATTGCTGATGATTTTTAGCTCTTGTTTAAATTTCTAAAAGTGCCGAAGACTAAATTTACACATTTTAAATAAAACATGACACTTGATTTGTATATAAATAGATGATTGCATAATATCATCAGTTCGACACCCTTTAAAATATTAATGTTTTGAAAAAAACTAATCTGGTAATCTGTTGATGCAGCTCAAACCATTCAGCTGATGATGCAGCTCAAACCATTCAGCTGATGATGCAGCTCAGGCCCGACACCATTTTATTACAGACAAATATCAATTTTTAACTCAAGGCAGAAAAATGAAATATTTCTGAGGACAGGCTCATAATGGGGGGGGGGGTAATTTATTTTTACTTGACGTGTCTGCCAGGCAGTCAGGACATTTTAAAAACACGACTTTACACTGGTGAAAAACATTTACATCACTAAGGTAAGAAGTGAAATTTACCCACTGCGTCATTTTCAAACCATTTAACACCAGTTAAATTGACTTTAGGCCATTTTATTTTCTGTTTACCTTCCTGAGTGATGACACTGCATTACTGTCATAAAGCCCTCAGCTCAGATTTTAAACAACATGTAGACCGTGACCTTTGCTCAGGACTAGTTTCATGTGCTCTGTGGATCAGCTGCTCCTCCAAACCTGTCTCCTGGCCGCGCCCTGATCATCTGAACATCCTCCCCCAGGAGATTCAGCACAGCCATTAAAGCTGCTCCCCCGCAGGGACAGTCTTAGATTCACAGAAAAAAGAGATGATCGTACCTCTGCAGTGGACCGACGTGGTTTTCTAGATATCTTTGTTTTTCTATCCAACACCTCCTCGTCCAGGTCTGACACACACCGTCCGTGCGTCACCCGTCTCTCCTCTCCATGAAAACCGAGCTGACAGCGCCGTGATCTGCCCCGGTGCCCCCCCCGAACACCCGCTCCCACCTCCACCCGAGGCTGTCCGGTCCCGAGGACTCAGGAGGACCGGTGGGTACGAAGAGGAGCGGTCAAAATGGCTCTGTTGTCTCCGCGGCTCTGACAAGGATGCTCGAGCCACCGAGCCGGTGACGTCATTGCGGAGGGAGGTGGCAGCGCTCGATGCGAAGCAGATTGGGGTGGGGGGGGGGGGGGGTGGCGCGGCTGCTCGGTCCCCCCGGGTCCTCCTGAGTCCTCGGGACCGGACAGCCTCGGGTGGAGGTGGGA